GGTGTTTTTTGCAGAGCAAAGCTCTAAACTCCAAGCATCCCAGAACTTCGGGAGCCACCCAAGAAGCAGACTGACATGCAAGCAAAGCACATCTGTGCCAGGGGCCAAAACGTGGGTTTCCCACCCCTCTCTATCTCTGAGTCTTACTGGGCCCATCCCAGTCCCCCACTTTCAGTCCTCTTCCCAGATACACCAGCACCATATTTGAACATTTCCACGAGCTCCACACAATCCCCTTTTGCTGGGGCAGCCCCACAAACTCTTATCCCACATCCCACATGGGTCCTCAGCCCTGCTGGCAGAGTTCCCACTGCCAGTGAGGCCTCTGCACAGCATTCCTGTGGGATCCATCTCCATTGGCAGGGAAGAGTCTGGAGGTCCTGGGGACATGAACATACAAATGTCACTGGTGGTGTGTCCTGTGGCCAAAAGGCAGAGATGCTCTGGGGGGGGAGACTGGGAGTGCTGCCAGCAGGACAGGGAGGGATCCCACCCTCATGATCGTCTTCTCTGCCTGAAAAAATGTGCAAAATTCCATTGTGCAAAACACAAGATGAAGCTTTTTACTGTGGTGGTGACCACAGACTGGGATATTGTTGAATAAGTTGTCTATACATGTAATTGCCATCTTTAGCATTCAATACCTTGGAAGCAGAAGATAAAATTCTTCCCTCTACCTGCTCCCTAGCTACTTGGTTGTGCAAAATTAACTAGTCAAAATAAGCCAGGAACCAACTACTGGGCCTCTTACACTCCTAAGAACAGCTATGAAGAAGTTATCACTAAGTACAGATTATCTTCTATAAAATATGGATGAAAAATGCATTAAAACATAGAATGAAGACAAATTACAGTTCTTGGATAGTGTGTTGTCTCTAAGTCAAAGTTGTCGAGCTTATGTATCTAATCCTGCATGGGAATCAGCACAAGTTCGTCTTTAGTTTGCAGAAAAATCTAGAAACTGACTCCCACAGATCTACCTTCCAATGTCACCTTAATGCTACTATGTCTGGGCAAAAACCACTTTGTATACAACTTAGCACAGGAAAGTAATAGAATTACCATTTTGTGCTTTAGGCAAGTAAAAAAAATATTTTTGCTTTAAATTCAGGAACTCTAATGCAATCACATAATTAGATACTCTTTTCAAGTCTAAAACATGCAATGATGTCTGTATGAGGACCCAAAACTAATTTCCTTCAAGTGAATGTTATGAAGCTTCAGAAGAGAAAAAAAAATCAATGCCCAGAATTTGTTTGAAGTGATATATTTTGTTTTTAAAAATGGGAACTCCTCCATATAGTTAAAAGATCAGTAGAAGGCATGAAAGATTAAGTTGCCGATGAGCTAATAGACAAGATAATTGCAGAGCATTAAAGACTCAGATTTATTTTTAAGACATTCAAGCTCTATTTAGAAAAGCTTTTTGTTAACTTTTGTGAATCTCAAAAGAATTATCCTAACATGTTGAACAATAATAGGACTAATGATGTTAAAGCGTCATCATTTCGTATGCCAAACCAACCCATACAGTAACTGGCCACAGAGTGTTTCTGCAGCACAAATAGAAGACTAGAGGAGTCATAATGCAGCAAAACCTCAATATCCGCAAAAAGAGATATGTCGTACTCTGTGCTGGGGTAAGTGACAAGTCCTGAATTTTCTCACTGAGCTATCATGCACAGGGAGGTTGAGCACACTTCCCCTCACAGGCTCACAGGCTCTCAAGCACCATTTTGTTTCTGTGGCACCAGAAAGGTCATGTTAATTCAGGGTGAGAGCTGAGTGTGTGAAAGCTGGGCAGACAGTTCCCTGAAATGGAGCTGCACTAGTCTGATAGAGATAAAAAGAAAAGCAAACATAAATCTGTGTTGATAAGTCTACAGGCAAGCAAATGTGTAGCTTAGCAAATAGAGAACTAATTTCTGTATTGGTTTGGTCTTGAGACTGTGGAGCTTCTTGAGACTTCCCTGGTTTTATTCCACCTTTCTAAAACGATGAATAAAGAAAAAAATGCTGCCTATTGTCAAAGTCATCTGCATGCCTTTTAGTGATATTACACTTCTGCATTTATCACATATTTTCAAGAAACTCCTAGACTCTTCTGTTTAGGAAACCTATTCTCTGTGCTTTTACAGAGAAGCTTTTCTGAAGAGCTACAGAAAGTGCTTTCCACCTATATTTTTCATCTCCTCAGATTAAAAAAAGTATTAAATGTATTCTAAAATTATAATTTTAAATATATACATGGAAAGGTACATGTATTTTACATATATACTCATACATACACTTTTTTGTTGACAAAACTACATACATGCATAGATGTGTATATATTACACAAAGCTAAAATACTCATGCCTGACTAAACACTATAGATTGCAAAAGGTGGACACCATCACAACATATGAGATGATCTGTTTCCCTTCTATTACTACAAGCCTGAAATGACATCAGAATATAAATAAACATATTTAATTGCATTTTTTAAACTATGACTGACAAAAAACAATTCTACAGAGGTTTTTGAAGATGTTCTTAGTTCTATTATTACAATAGAGATTATTTAACCTTAGATAGTTAGTGAGTTGTTTCTGACCATAAGGAAGTATGTGAAAATGTTTATTTGTGTGTATAAATAACAGGCAACAAATACTACTGCTATGTACAGATTAGAGGAAGGAGCTGAATTCCTGAGGGTAAGGAAGTAAAACATGGGAGGTAAGACTAAAAGGAGACATAAAAATGAAAATCAGTATTTTATGGTTGGTGAAAGAGAGAGAAATTTCCAGAGTGCAGCAGGGCATGTGTAGGTAATGAAAATCACAGTTTAGTGACAGTATGTTTGCATTAGCATGCTGAAGAGCTGTAAGTGAAACATTTTGCTTTGCTCAGAGATAAAAGAATGTTGACATAATTACTGTTGAAAATTAGGATGGCAGCTGAGCCCTGAAAGACATTTGTGTGGATAGATTAGAAAGGCCTTACCTCAGATTTCATTCAGGAAGTTCATTCAAACATACAAGAGTTTGTTATGGCAAGAATTTGGGCATCTAGGCGTAATGCTGTGTTGAAGATGATGCAACATTATACACTTGAATAGCAGTCAGCGTGATCATTTGTTCTACAGGAAATAAAATGTGCGTAAAGAAGTGCTTCTTTTCTGAAAAGCTTCAATAACAGTAAAAAAAATAGAATTACCATGGCAACAACCAACAATCGTACATGCCAACATGGAAAAAATAAAACAGGAAAACAAAACAGAAAATCAATTAAGAATTTAAGCAATGATAAACTGCACAGTTTATCATCAAGTCTGATTCTTTATCATGTATTTCAAATATGATTTCAGATTAAACAAACTATTTTCATGTTGTTGGTAGTTTAAAGATCCTCAAGAAACTGAGGCCAAACAAAGCGGATGTAAACAACAAAACTGTAAAATCTCATGTCTTTTGTGGAGGGAAGAGAGGCAGAGTAAAAGAAGCATATGGATTTTTACAAAATTATGCTGAAAAAATTTTTATACTCTCACTTTCTTAACATGCCAAAAAATAACTCACAGAAGGTAAACTTAAAAGTCCATTCTTTTCCCATGCTAAATTTTCACCAATTTCAGGAATTTCTCAGCAGTTAATGACATAATGATGTACTACCCTGAGTATTTTTTAAGTTGGTAAATGAAACTGCTGTGGACAATAGACTACTGTCCTCATTTTCATTACAGTCCCTAGCAAGGGGTCCACATTTTCTACTGGAGCAGTATCTTCTGGGTCTCAGTGGACCTAGAGTAACTTATCTCATATTGTGACTTCATAATAACAGAACATATGCCAACAGCAAAATTCAGGTTCTCAGGACAGAAGAGGAAATAGAACAGCAAGATTGCACAAGAGAGGACAGAGATAAAGAACTGGAAGAGATATGAGGCAGAAACCAAATGAGAAATATCAGGGTATTAATTTTTCACAAAATAGTGTGTCTTGGAAAACATGCTAATAATCATATCCTTTATTCGCATAACAGGGAATTTTTAGAGATCTGCAGGAGCGTTTTCTGTATAGATCATATAGAACTAGTGACACAATTTGGTAAGCCTTGGTGAAAAATATTGTTGACCAGTAGTTTAGCAGAATCTACACAGGCAACTTCTCTGGGAAGGAGTAAAATTTTGTTATTTTATGTCTAGAACCATGTTTTTTTTACATAATTTTGGTAATCTGCCTGTCCGTCATCAATCTTCCTTTCTAGAACACTCATTTATTCCTATGTTTCTTGACTTGGATCCTTTCTGAAATTATCTGAATATCAGCCATGAACCTGTGAAACTGTTTTAAAAGCTTGAAAAAAGCCAATGCTGTCTTACTCATCTGAAAAGGAAGACCTTAACTCAGCGAATTGAATGCATTTATTGCACAGTTATACAACTTCATTACAGAGGAGTTTCAACATGATTGTGTTTACTCACCTAACAAACAATGGAACAAATTGTTTTGCCTCTGAGAGCTGTCATATGGAGCTCCCAAAGCTTTACATTTACAGCCTGTGTAATGTGTCTTGAAAAGAGATGGAACCACATCTTCAGTGGTAACAGAGAAATTCTAAGGGTCAATTTTATACTATTGAAATACTTCTGACCTTGGGCAATAATGACCTTGGGCTCTTGTGTTGAGCACTCAGTAAGTTTTATTCCAACATAATAATGAAATAATGCACATAAAGCAACTTAGCAAGAAATATCAGACATGATGTCCTGTGTTAAAGAATAGTTAGGACCCTACGTTCTGAGGCAGAGTTGGTTTATTTCAGCTTGAGCTGTGTGCCTTTGGAAAGGCAACAACCTCTGAGGCTTGGAAACAAGAGTTCTCTTCCAAACTCGGTTTTCAACAGCAGCCTAGGTGGACCATTTGCATGCTAACCTGACAATAGTTGTGATACCTCTCTGATAGAAGTGCTGGTATATTTACCTCTTCACTGTTAAAATTAGCACTCCTAACTGCCACTGAAACCTATATACAGGCAAAGCAGCTTTTTTTCATATCTGAGATGTCAGTTTCTGTGTCAAAACTACATAATTTCTCAGATACTGGCTGAAGTTACTCACTCAGTAACATCTTCACTGCTGCTGCTAATGAAGCTCTCAGGCACCTGTCCTCAAGCTATAGAGCAGTTTGCAATTTTGATATTTATATATAGATTCAGTCTGAAAACCAGTCTTTTTCTACATGGAACTGAGCACTATTCTAGTGATAAAACTCCCATATTAGTTTTTACAGTCAGGCACCACTGTTTTTCCAGCTAATACTTACACCACCAAATCTGCCCCACCAAAGGTACTCTCTTGTTTCTGCCTTTGCATGTCTTCACTGTAGCACACAAGGTTCTCTTGCATGTTGTGATCAATATTCCACTACAAGTTGCTTTTAGCTGACTAGCCTTCTACTGGATATTTTAAAGGATTGACCAGCATTTATCACTAACACTGGATAAGCTAATTTTCACTTTTGTAAATGTGAATCAAACTAGGGGGGAAAGCCTGAGTTAGTGAAAGGGAATACACAGGAAACAAAGTCAGCAAGGTAAGCTTGTTTTGACTTAGAAGTTTACTTCTTCTAAGTGAGTGAATTAAGCCAAATTATTCAGAATTCTGCAAAATCTAGGGGGAAAGTTGTGCCATATAGAATTTTAAAAAATTACTTTTTGTAAGAATCTGGGATGCATGTGTATTTGACATCTTACTTTCCCAGAAAAACAGAATAAAGGTTGTGTAAATTCATTTCCCATCCACTCAGTGAGTAGAAATCAGGTCAGCTCTACTTACGGCTGCATTAGCATTCAGATCAAGCTCACTTCACTCACATTTCCACCCAAACATCTCATTACAGCAGTCAGTCTAGGCTGTTCAGGGCACAACAGATATTTTCATCTTTTCCACATCTGGCCACTTGAAAGGTGTGCTTTCAGTTTCTCTGACTTTAACTAAAGCAGTCAGAAGCAGTCTTTGTGAAGTCATGGACCAAGATTTGCTCAGAAGGTGTGACTCATCCACTTCCAAATCCTGATACTCTCCAAGTCAAGTGTTATTTGCCTCAATGGCATTGACCATGCAGTAGATATTGGTACTGATGTACCAAGTACAGTAATGTTACATCAGAAACAAACCTGAAAGAAGTTTGCTGTTTCTTGAAAAATCCTTTGAAAGACCTTTGAGGACTAATATGCTCTAGGTTGTGAAGATAAATATTTGAACACCTGCAATACAGAAAAATATGAGGAGATCAAACGTGAAGAGATAGACTTACGCTGTTTCAGGAGAGATCACAGTTAATGTTGAATTGATATCTCATTTTAAGTGTGTGTGCTAAGGTACTGCTTTGAAAGATCTCATACTATCAGAAAGTTATGTTTTAAGTAACTGAATCTACAGAATGATTGAGATATCCTAGGAGAGAAAATACATCCCAATGTTGACTGCTAGGTTTACAGCTCAGAACTTAAGTTGCCAGTGTTCTGGGAACAGCATTTCCTCTGGGAAATGAGACTAGATGCCACTTTTAAGTAATCCCTCCACCATTAAAAAGCAGACAGACAGAAATGTCAGTAGGTGGAGCTGCCTTTCCTGCAGTCAATAGAGAAGTTTCTCTGCAGAAATTGCATTTGCAGGCACCCAGTCAGCTTTTCCCAGTCCCTGGCAGATGGTACTTGAACAAAACATGAACATGCAAAAATGCAGCTTTTTTACATCATGTTACCAAAGTGCACAAGTCAGGAGAAGATAGAACACAGAACTGACAATGTTTGTCAGCACAAGCTGTTTATTTTTTCTTCTTGTTCTTCTTGGGTTTTTTTGTTTTGGTTTGGTTTTTGGTTGGTTTTTTTTATTGTGTTTGTTTGTTTTTGTTTGTGTTTTTTGGTTTTTTGGGGGTTTTTTTGGATTTTTTTGTGTGTTCCTAGTCATGATAAATAGCATTATTTTACAGTTATATGCTTTTACTCCAGAGCATCTTGTTCACAACAGTAAAACACCCTATAATTCATGCTTGGACTGAAGGTAATGCTAAGGTAAATATGTCTATTTTCATCATCTTCAGCACTGAGGTACATGAAGTACATCTTTGCAGATGATAATCAGGCTGACAGTTTTTTCTTTCATTATTGTTCTAGTGAAATAAATATGCAGTTCATCTATTTATTACTAAAGAGTACTTCCACTTCATCTCTCAGCTTGAAGCTGTACAGTGTAATAAGGGCTGTGATCAACCCATTGTCTTTATTTTAAAAGGAAGACTCATGAATCTGATTAACTGAAAGAATGATTGTGGTATAAAAACTTCTGAGAATCACTCATATGAGGTGAAGAATAATCATGGTACAAATTTGTGATACATGTCTGAAGATTGGCTTATTTCATATGAAGAATTTCATGTCTGCTTTATTTCTGAGGCCTTGAATAAGTATGGCAAGGAAGGTTCTCTGACCACCATCTTCAAGTCTGACATTCCTGAGTAACTGGTTCATTTTTTTTCACATGGCAGGCCCACAAACCAAAACATTAATATTGAAATGAGTAATTTTGGTTGTGAATGAAGAGTTAGTGCTTGCCCTGTAGCCCTAGATATCACAGTAAAATCAGCTCCTCTGGATGTTTACAAAGCACACAGAACATACGTCATCTTCTGATTTTATGCGTGTCCATATGGCCTTCTTCAGCAATCCTAATCTCCAATCTTTTTTCCAATATGCCTAAAAAAACTAGCTCATATATGGGGTTTAGCCCATGTATGGCCAGGTGATATGCTGGACAAAGGTAGTCTGTCAAAATCTTTGAAGAATTTTTCTAGTTTTGTGGTAAGGGCAAAATGCAAGAAATTTTTTATTTTGTGGTTATGGTGAGGAAAATATGCACAGAATGGTATTTGATTTCACTGTGCTGGTAACAGGTGCAGTGCCTTTGGGCTCATGTCTGCTGATACCTTTCTCATTTTAAAATTTCTAAAATAACCAAGAAAGACACTTCTAATAAGGACCTGATTTACTCATCCAGATGACAATAGGAGGTGCTCGGAAGCAGCTCTGAGCAGGAAGGCACTTCAGTGTTCATTAGATGCTAGAGATGGTTGATATATTTATCTTCAGAGTGACATTTAACCATTTATCTGACTAAGACCTTGAAGTAATACACACCCCATCCCCAGTTTCTGTCTGGCCTTCACATCAGAAGGTGGGGACAACAATGCAAACTATATAGCTTTGTCTACTTTTTCCTTTCACTTTGTCTCAGTGAAAGGAAAAAAGTCCTCCTGAGCTGCAGTTCCATGTACATCGTCACAGGTAATGAGCACTGTTTTTATATTGTCTTAATATTAACAGTCTTTTAAAATCATATGAGGTTTTAGCATCTCTTATGAATGCCTCCGAGTCAGGGCTCTTGCCTCTTTCAGCAAAGAGTCTCTAGCCAGTGCTGATTTAACTGAACATCAAGAAGATTAGTAGTTAAATGGCTGATGATTCCTTCCAGCACATGAGATGAAAGCTTTGGTTTCCATGCATATACCAAGAGTTGCACAATTTCAAAAAATATTTTATTTTTCTTATTTCAGCTTGATCCATCTGCTAGTTACTAGAAAAATATCAACTAAATAAACTGAAGGTGGTAAGTCTATAGCCTCAAAGCATTGTCTTGACCAGGAATAAGTTTTGGTTTTTAAATTTATGTGGATAATCTGTATGTTGGTTAAGGGTGTATCCTGGTGAACTGAGAATCCTGAAGTAACGGCCTTGAAACTATTAATCTAAACCCAGCAGCAATTTAGAAGAAGAACATGGTGGGTGTTTTTCTGTATCTTGCCATTTCCTCTGCTAGGAAGAGGTTGGACCTTGCAGCATTGCCCATCAGCTGATAACAAGATCTTTTGGAGACATGGCCCAATCACCTCTGTTACACTGCGATAATACAAAGGCACAGGACGTGTTTAAGCTTCTGTCAATTAATATCTGTATTACTGAAGACTAATCTCAAGAGAATAAAGTTTGCAGGGTGTAATCACTACTGAGAGGATTTCAGATCAATAAATTTTAAATTAACAACACAAAAATGTTTTTTGCGAGGCAAAGTTGTAAAAAAATAATACTTTGTTCCTATTCAGAGTTGTTATTTTTATTTTAACAGTTGGAAAAGCAGATAGGGAAAAGTTTGGAGCCCTTTATTCACTATTGTTCAATAGCCAAAATTCCTCTGTAGAGCTGCTGCCTCGCCAAAAGTAAATTTTAAATGTGTACATTATATGTTTCAGTTTTATAATGAGAATTGTCTTTAAAAAGGGTGATATTCTTTAATACCAGATTTATTTGCCTGCCTTCTGTGAGAATTTTTGATATGGCAGGATTATAAGATCAAAATAATGCAGTAATGTAGAACCAAGACCATCATGCTGAAAAACTTCAGATAAATTTTATGCTGATATCACATAGTAGCAGCAAGGATGGGCAGAAGGAACAGTCCCATGAGATTTCCATTTTGGTTTTTTCTAGCTTTATTGCATTAATACAAAAGCCTGATTTCTTACTCTGTATTTGTCTGCTTATATCCCACTTTATAGTGAATGCTTTACTACTATAATTTCAATTACTACTACTATCACTTATGGTAAAGAGATAGAGTCTCCTATCCATTGGGGTTTCTTACCCTTTTCTTTAGCATCACCATAAGTGGAGATCATGACATAAACTGAATAAAAAAAAAGAGAGAGATATTTGACAGAGGAAAGATAATGTTTACTCTTAACAAAACATTCCTTAGCTTGAAGTTACACATGCTCAAAAGATAGTGCATTTCAACCGTAGCCATACTTCTTTGCCTTACCTGCCATTAATTCATCACCTTTTGTCAGGAATTTAGTTTGTTCTAATGTATTTAACCTTGATTTTCTAAGTCTTCATGTCCCATGCAGAAGATAGATAATAATGTGAGTTTTCTCCACTTACTGTGAGCATGGTCTTTGAAAGGTTTCAATAATTTCAGTTGGTATGTGTGATGCAGTAATTTTAATGAATGCCTAAGCAGATTGCATCAAGTCCTTTTGTGTAGTTAGGAATAATTAACAGTAATGAAAAAACTATTAGCTAATCTCTCAAAACAGTTTTAGATTGTACTTTTGTATATATACATCCTCCAAAATGCCTCAGAAATTCTTTAAAATCCTATTACCTAGAAGTGTGTTTTAAGATCAGTTCCTTCTAAGATCACTCCTTCTATATATACTGCACAGTATCTTTGGTGATTTAACCATTAGAAAAGTGTAAAATAAGTTACAAAATTTTCATCGCTGTTTTTTGAACAGGTAAGAAAAAAACATGATAAATAGATATGGCAGAACAGATTTCACCTAAACAAGCAAATTTCAAGTAGAGCCAGATTTACCTATTCCTTATACTACAGAGTATATTTTAGAAACTATACCTATCTCAATATATTAAATGCACAAGAACTTCAGATTTTACCTTTAGGTCCCTTGTAACAAAGCTCAGAAGTATTATCATATCGTATAGAGGAACCTAATCCATGTGAATATGTTTGGGTTTTCAATATCAATTATCTAGATTCCCCAGTGAGGACTTTTACATTTTATTTAACTGTCTTTTTCAGACATACCTGTATATAGTGTGAGTGACTCTAACATGTATTTCTTTCCCATATTTAGTTTTGTTTGGGGATGGTTACATGAACTAGGGATAATAAGGTGTGTTATGTAAAAAGTGAACACTTTTTATGAATGTGATACCGTAAATTTTAATAGAATTGAAAATTACTATAAATATTTCAAGTATAATTCTAGAAAAAATTACATATGTCCAGCAATAAAAGGAGTAATACTTATGCAGGGTATACTTAATGACTGAGAAAAAAATACAATCTACTTTAGCTTTCTTTACACAGGATGGATGGATGGATCATGTTCTGTTACAAATAAACCAGCAATCCCTAGAGAAAGTGATGGTCCCATCAGGCCAAACAAGGAGATTAGTAAAGGTTAAAGGAGACATCGTTTCACTTAAACTGGTAAAGTTCCCAGTGATTGAAAAAGGGGAACATAATTCGCATTTTTAAAAAGGATTAAAAAGGAAGACCCAGAGAGCTGCAATGTGAGACCCAGTCAGTTTCACCTAGGTGCCTGGCAAGATAGTGGAGCAAATCCTCCTGGAAACTATGATGAAGTGTATGGAAGACATGGAAATGATGTTCAGTTAAATCAGAAAAAATGATTGGTGACAGCCAACATGGCTTCACTAATGGCAAATTGTGCCTGCCTGATTTGGTGAACCACCTAATGGAGTTACAGCATTTGAGGATGGGGGAAAAATGACTGACATAATCTACTTGTCGTTGTGCAAAGCATTTGATGCTGTCCCATACTACATCCTTGTCTCTGGATGAGGAGACGCTGATGGGTGGAACATTTGGTGGATAAGGAATTGGCTGGATGTTTCACTCAGAGAAATGCAGCCAACAGCTTGATGTCCAGGTGGAGACCAGTGATGACTTGGGTTCCTCAGGGATCTGTACTGAGAATTATTTAACATCTTTGTTGGCAACATGGACAGTGGAATTGAGTGCACCCTTGGCAAGTTTGCTGACAGTGGCAAGCTTAATTGATGCTCTAGGTGCAGTTGACACTCTAGAAAGAAGGAATGGCATCCAGAGGGACCTATACAAGCTTGAGAAATGGTCCAGTGTGAGTTTTACAAAGCTCAGTGTGGCCAGGTGTTAAGTCCCGCACCTGAGTCAGTCAATCCCAAACATGGATACAGTCTGGATGATAAATGGACTGAGAGCAGCCCTGCAGAGATGGACTTGAGTGTGTTGGTAGATGAGAAACTCAGCATGGATCAGCCATGTGCACTTGCATCCCAGAGAGTCAACTGTGTTCTGGGCTGCAGCCAAAGCAGTGTGCCCAGCAGGGCAAGAGCAGGGATTCTGCCCCTTAATTCTGATCTCATAAGACCCCACCTGGAGTGCTGCTGCCATCTATAGGACTTCTCCAGGTGTAAGTCCAGAGGGCCATAAACATGAGGGCTGGACCAAATCTCAAGTGTGAAGACACGCTTGAGACAATTTGGGTTTTGGGACCATTCTTGTTCTTTAAAATATGCTTGCCTGAGGTTTTGTAGGATTAATGACAGTACTGTCATGAAGCTGTTCTGCAATGTGAACTCACTGGATGCAATGCCAGCTAGTTCACAGGTGCCACAGAAGACTGTGCAGGTCAGCTAGTGCTAGCTGGTAGCAACTAGTGCTTAATTGCCACTTTCTGTTTTAATATCAAATCATGGCTTTTCCTCTCAAATACTAAACTAATTTATTTTATACTCTGAAGGAAATGAAACAAAGTCTCTCCTAATTATTTCATTACTGATTTCACATCTGAGGCCAAACACTTTCCTAGCACATAAATTCAATACTAACTGTACCACAAAAATTATTGGAAAAGATCAGACACAGGCTGCACAGGTCCCCCCCGACTTGTGGACCAACGGGATGCTGGAGGGGTTTTGCCTTCTCAAGCTTCTCAGCTTCTTCTGTGCATTCAAAGCCAATGCAGATAAATCATGAAGGCTATAAATCATAGCTTCATCTGATCCTTCTCCTTTCTGTTTTCTCAGACTCCCACCAAAGCCCCTACTATGGAAAAATGGAAATACCTGTGAGAAACCTCATTGAATATGTAACTCTGATGTGCTAGGATTTGTTGGTTGTACTAAAATCTCTACTATGTGTCTTTAGCCATCTTCACCCTTCAGTCATTTCATGTCATCATTTCCTCTATTTCCACAGGAATGAAAGAGTAAACATGTATAATTTAAAATATAAAGGGAAAAAATCTAATTAAATTTGTATATTGGCAGAATAATGAAATCAGAGTATTCCCACTTTTATCTGATTTTGCTTTGTCTACCTCTCATCTTTTGGTCATGCCAAAGCTTTTTTTAGATCTTTGTGTGAAAGGAACTCTTTTGACTGTTATGAAAGGACTGCAGTTGAGTACTACTGCAGTAACTGTACTAAACCAAGTAGAGATTTTTATTCTAGTGACTCCAAATACTTATTTCTTGGAAGCTAATGGCATTTAATCTAGCTGTGAGTAAACAGCAGGCTCCAAAGCAGCCTGTTGATCCCCAAGTCAAGCTCAGCTGATAAGCCATTCCCTTGACATCTAACAGCTGGTAATGGATGACATAAATCAGATGATAAGGTAACCATTTAAACTTTAGTGAGCCCTAGCAGGGCTTCCTCCAATGTAAATTTATATTGTCTCTTGGTATGTGGAAATCACTTTGTAAATATTTTCTGTTCTGAGCTATTTTAGTGCTGTACTTTGGCCTATATAAATGCTGTCATTTATGTCATCCCACAGTCTTACATAATCCTCTTCAAAGAGAAATGGTTAAATGCTTCTTAGTTCCATCTTGACTTGAACTTAAAAATTCTATTATTATCATTAATTATCTTTATCTTTACCATTATTATTGTAATGCACATGATTTGCACCTGGACAGGTTCCAGCTTTGTCCAGGGCATTGTAGGAAATGTATATTATCTCCATTTGTTAATTTATTTATGTTAGCAGTAATGACAAGCCTTGGTGTGTATATTTTGGCATGTAACTAGTAATGTTCAGCAGTCTCCTTTGCCCACCCAAAAGTCCATGCGTTTCCATTACTTTCTGCAGATCCGAAGTCAACCGGATAGATTATTTTTTCTCCAAAATTAGTATTTGTTTTCAGATTAAGACATGTAAGCTAGTACAGTTCAGTGGAAAATTCAGACTGCAAAAATACCCATGCAGATTACATATACAAATTAACAAAAACTATCCCAGGTTTAGTTGACACATTACAGCAGCAGCCTTTGAGCTTTGATATCCTGATATTGCTCTGCAAAACAAAGCATTGCTTGCCCCAAGTCAGAGAATTTTCATACACACATAGGTGTGTTAAATTATTGCAGAGTTGAATTTTCAGTAAAACAGGCATTCTCAGAAGTTAAGTTGATGCTAAAATGCTTTCTGTATGGATTTTTTTTTTTTTAAGTAAAGACCAATGTTACCAGGATTTGCTATCATTCTGTGTATGGGGAGGATAGTTGATTTGATCGGGGCAATGTGAAATGCTGCTTAGAAAGTGTGAGAAGCAAAAGAGATATTGGAAAATGTACACTAGAACCCTAAAGTGAGAACAGAAGGTAAGTAAATGAGATGCGGGAATACAGAGAATAAACTGCAAAGTAATTGGAGGCAAGATGGAATAAAATGTTGTAAGACATTAATCATGTTTAGAAGGATGAAAAGGCAAGTTGTTTGTCTTGCGGTGGCTGGGGATTAAAGTAGTTGTTCTTATGCAGCTAGAGAAAATATCTCACACAAATTTAAGGCTACATTTTGACCTTTACACATTACTTCATTTTAGGAACGTGTGACTCAGGAAAAGTACTTTTCAAGGTAAATACAGGCTGAGCAAGTATAGTCTCTTTAAAAATCTTAAGAATTTCAAACAGTATTTTCTGGAAGTAGTAACTAGTTGTTTTCACTTGGCTACTTTGGCAGTAATAGTTTATCCTATTAGTATTAGCATTAATCAATACCCATGAATGCCATTATAGGTATAAGGCTGAACAACCATTTCCTTACCATTTGTTTATTTCATTTTTTCCTCTTCAGTTTGAGATATGCTGTTATTCTGTGAAAGTGGAAATTCTAATACTAAATTAATGTTACCCTATAATAGATACCTTCTAACTGGTTTCTACATTAGTTTTCCAAAGGTAAAAATAGATAAAATTGTTCTAGCAGCATCAGGGCTATTCAACTTTAGGTTCCTACACAGTTTTGCTGGGAAGATTGAAACATTTCGCTGCACGTTTTTATCTCATAAGACTGACAGATAATTTTTTGAAGGTCTATAAATGTGGCTATTAGGGACAAAGAGTGGGCTGATGGTCTGTATAAACACTTACCTGCCAGGCAGCGGGTGCGGCATTGCTTCTGGCCCAGACAAACAGGAAAGGTCAGGATGGAGTTTCCTAAGAAGGAGACATAGTAGAATCTGTGTCTTTAGAGGCTGAAAGAGCCATTAGCAACCTTGTTTTGGTTGGCATATTGTTTTGATTTGTTCTTTACTCTCTCTTTTGATGGTGCTGATCCCAGATACTGTGGCAGTATACTTTTGTCCAGCTCTTTGGGGAAACTGACACCTTGACAAAATTGAACTATGGTAGCTCAAAATGCCTGTATGGCATTATCTGGTGTTCAGCTTTACTACTTCCTTGGTGTTTTTCTGGTACTGATATGTGCTGGTTACAGTCATATAAATATTTTAAAATACCAGAAAATTAGATTCAGTGTTTCCTTCCTAACATGCACAGAGAATTTACAATCTGAGTTGGGGTGTGTAGGGATGATCTTTTCAAAGTTTTATAACCAGCAGAGGCAGGATTGACAAAGACCAACTGAGTCCTCAAGGGCAGTTTTCCATTCTTAAATATTTGTATGTAACAGAAGCTTGGTGTGGAAAGCGTGACAGTTTTATCCTTAGTTTGCTCTTGACTGCTGTAAGGACTTAAATTTTTTCATACTTGTAAATTTACTCTAAGATTCAGAATGACTTTTGAGACAGTCTCCTGGGGAGGCTTCCTAAAGTGCTGAGCTAGCTTCTTTCCAATAATGACTGATTAGAAAAGGACTTGTGCCTCACACAAGCCCATCATACAGAAAAAAAAAAAGAAAAAAAAAAAAAAGAATATACTTGCTGCAACAATGCACTCAAAATTTCAGTGCTTTTTATTTTTGCTTTCAGGCACTGCCAGGTAGACTTAGTGGGGCAATGAAGGAGAATAATAGAATGACACTTTCCATAAACTAGCAGCCAGCAATAGTAACAGCAAGCTACCACACACAGTGCATCTTGTTAGCCCTGCAATATCACACAGATACTCTCCTCTTCTGCTTTTAATTATTTCTGATTAGTTCTTGAATGCTACTCAGCCTCTGCCTTCACTGCAGTCACTTATATTTGGGTTACTATTGTCAAAATGTCTCCTGAGAAAATATACATTCCAGTATACAAATGGAAGGCTGAAGAGTAGTGAATAAAGTCATTGCTTGGCATGCTACCTTCTGCAGTGGGTACATGCATCCTAAGGTGGTTCCCCAGATATTTGTTCCGTATTGAAGCATAAAAAACCAAGCAAACACTGCAAAACCCCAGGCTCTTCCTTTAATCCTTTTTTTGGGGGGCAAGTGGGCTCTTCTCTCCATAGGACAAGAAGTTCTACAGTGTTTACATGCACCTGTGAAGGTTAGTTTTTCTTCCTCTCTTGTCTAGTTCTTCCCCTGTCTCTCACACTTATGTGAGAGAATTATGCTTATGAGATCTCCAGGGTTCATATCACATCTGTCTTGTCTGTGTATACAGATTCCTTATCTAATAAACATGGTGTCATATCATGAAGTAATTTTTCAGATAGGGTTGTACTTTAATTACTAGCATAAACTGGAATTTTTTTTGGTGAAAAGTTAAAAGATCATATTTTGAAATTAACTATCATGCTAAGTAAACTAATAACTATATAGATTAAATAAGCATGGAGCTTAAAGACTTAATCAAATGGGCCAGCACAAGAGAAATTGCTTTTCATGTTCTGATTAAGCCTATTTGAACCCACACAAGAAAAGTGCAATATATATTGAGGGAAGAATCCAACAGAATACCATTGATTTTCTATTATATATTGTATTAAAAAAATACAAAATGAATACAAAATGTGAAATAAAAAAAATAGAGCTGGAATAATCTTGAGATCTCCAAGGAATTTACAAAAAAACCAAAAAAACCCAAAAAAAACAAACCCCAAACCAAACCAAAAAAATCCCAAACAAACAAACAAACAAAAAAAAAACCCACAAAAAAAACCCCCAAACCCAAAACCCCAAACTAACCCCAACCCCCAAAACAAAACAAAAAACCCAAAGTAATTCTAAAGGAAGAAGTATTGTATGAGAACTTGCAAAAAGAAAATATTCTAGTATTAAAAACATAATGCCATATATTTATAAGGAAAGTACATATTAGAATTAATATAATTTTAATAGTTTCATTCTAGAATCCTGTTTCTTCAACTAAAGTGCACAAACAAGTAAACAATTTTTTTCTGAAGGCAGCCTCTCCTGGCTCTTTGGGTATGTAGACAGAGAATTACATATAATCACGTGTGAGTATTCTAAAAATTGATGAGAGTCTCATTGGCTATGAATGACATGACATGACAGAATTATCTCTACTTCTGATTCTTTTAACATTCCCTACTGAAAAAAACAGATTGAAAGAATATTAAATTTGTGAAGTTATGCTTAGGATTCCAGAATGCCAGAACAAAACTTTAATTTTAAACTTGGAGCTGTCTCAGTAGTTCATCTATTATGCCAAAATCTTTACATACAAAAGGAACACGAAACACCCCATCATTTAAAATCACCATAATATCTTTGCTGTCTGCATCAAAAGCAACATGCAATGCCTGCATCCTACTACACAGCACAATGGCACCACGTACCAAAAGAGGTGAAGGACAGCAGGCTGCAATAGGCCAAAAAATGTGTAACATAATGAATTTTGGTATGTTATTTTCTTCTTTCACTGTCCTTGAACTTAACACCTACTAAAAAGTTGTCTGTCAAAATGCTCACCTGCTGCTAATACTATTTCTTCCTGTCTGCTTTTTGGCTTTGTTTTAGGACATATTCTCTCCTTCCTCCTACAGGCCTCTCCATTCTCATTTGCAGAACCAAGTACCTTCATGCTGCTTTTCCTCCCCGTCCCAGGATTTTGCTCACAAATACACAATGTGTAACAGAAAGTGGGGGAATCAGAGCCTCATGGCTCTGCTGGTATCTGTCCATGGGCAAATGAGAGATTTTAGGCCCTTGGGATAAGTGGTTAAGGGATCAGGAGCACATGTAGTGTTTGTTCTCTCACCTGCCACTTGCAGGCAATCATGAGAAGAAACAGGAAGGTCACAGACTAGTACCTGGCTCTGAGCTTGGTGTCTCGGGCAAAATTGTGGGTTCTTTGGTCATGCATTGGTTTACATGACACCAAGCCTGCTGGCAACAGATGGTGTACACCTGTCTCAAAGGGGGAAAAGGAACTTGCACAACAGCCAACAGGACTCATTGAGAAAGTCTAGGGAAAAGGGATAAAACCAGGACTGCTAGAGATAAGCCTGGGGACAGCATGATGCAGAGAGGCTGCTTGTGCAGCCATCTCAATAGGGTATTGAGACCATGCAACAGCAAAGACGTGTGGGCTGCTGATGTCTCAGAAACAAGATGTGCCTGAGAATGGTGACATAAGCAGCAGAACTTCTCTCCCTGGAAAGGTGTCAGGATCAATATCCCAAATGAACAACTTCTACACCATGCTGCACACAGCATGGCAAGAAATGGAGGAGCTGGAAGCCACTATGCAGCAGGAATACTATGACATAGTCAGCACCACAGAATGATGGTGGGATGATTCAGGCAACTGGAATGCTGCAACAGAAGGCTTTGAGCTCTTCAGAAGGGATAAGCAAGGGAGGAGGTAGGTTAGCCCTGTGTGCTAGGAAGTGTTCTTATTATCTAGAGCTTAATAATTGTGTTGATGGCTTTAAAGGTTTATTGGTAAGAATCAGGGGGAAGACCAAAAGAGCAGATATCCTGGTGGGTTCTGTTACAGACCACACAACCAAGATGAAGAGGCAGATGAAATATTCTGTAAGCAGCTGGGAGCGGTCTCAAAACCATTAGATCTTGTTCTTGTGAAGGACTTCAATTTACCAGATGTCTGCTGGAATACAACAGCCCAAGAGATTTCTGGAGTGTGTGGCAGACACAGCTGTTGAGTAAGCAATCTAGGGAAAGCATTTGCTAGAACTGTTGTTTGTGAACAGAGAAAGACTGATGGGTGATGAGATGGTTGTCTTGGGCACAGCAATCATGAAATGACAGTTTTCAGTTCTCAGAGAGAAAAGAATGGAGGTCAGCAAAACTGCTACCTTAGAATTCTGGAGAATTCTGCAGAGTTTGGCCTGTTTAGGACACTGATTGACAGAAAGCCTTGGGAGGCAGTCCTGAAAGGCAAAGATGCCCAGGAAGGCTGAAAATTCTTCAAGAAGGAAATGTTAAAAACACAGGAGCAGGCTGTCCCTATGTACCAAAAGATAAGGTGCCAGGGAAGGCCAGTCTGGCTGAACAAGGAGCTTTAGCTGGAACTCAAGCAAAAAAGATGAGAGTTTAAGCCTTAATGGGCATGCAACTCAAGTGGACTACTAACATGTAATGAAATTATACAGGGAGAAAATTAGAAGGGCCAAAGCCCAACTAGAACTTGGTCTGACTATTGTCATAAAAGACAATGAAAACTGTTTCTGTAATATATTCCCAACAAAGGCAGGCTAAGGAGTATCTCCATTCTTTACTAGATGTTGGGAGAATTATAGTGACAAAGAATGAGAAAAATGCTGAGGTAATTGATGGCACCTTTGCCAGTCTTTAATGGCAGGACAAGGTGTTCTGAGGGTACCTGGCCACCTGAGCTGGAAAACAGGAATGGAGAGCAGAATGAAGCTCACACAATCCAGGGGTAAACAGTCACTGACTTGCTACACCACTTAGACACACAGGTCTAGGAGACCAGATGAGATACAACCAGAAGTACTAAGGGAGCTGGCAGAAGTGGTTGCTGAGCCATTTTCCATGATTTATTGGCAGTACTGGCTACCCAGGAGGGTCCTAGCTGACTGGATTGTTACTCCCATCTATAAGAAGAGCTGGAAAGAGGACCTAGGGAACTACAGGCCTGTCAGCCTGACCTTGGAAGGGCATGGAATAGATCATCCCGAGTCTCATCATGTGGCAACTGTAGAGCAACCAGGGGGATCAGAGCCAGTCAGTATGAGTTTGTGAAAGTCAGATGCTGCTTGATGAACGTAGTCTGCTTCTGTGACAGAGTGACATGCTTACTGGATGAAAGAAAGACTATGGATGTTGTATACCTGGACTTGGTAAAGCTTCGGACACCATTTCCAACAGCATTGTCTCGGAGAAACTGGCTTGGATTGGTGCACTGTACACTGTGAAAGAAAATGGCTGTATGGCCTGGCCCAAAGAGTGGTGGTGGATGGAGTTACATTCAGCTGGTGGCTGGTCATCAGTGCTGTTCCCCAGGGCTCAGTACTGTGGCAATTCTGCTTAATACTGTTACTAATTATCTGGACAAGGAATTGAGTGCACTCTCTGGCACTGTATGGATGACACCAAGTTGGGTGGGAGTCTTGATCTGCTGGAGAGTGGGAAGATTGTTCAAAGGGATCTGGACAGGCTGGATTATGGGCCCAGGCCAGTGGTGTGAGGTTCAACAAGGCCCAGTGCTGGGTCCTGCCCTTGGGTCACAGCAAGCCCAGGCAGTGCCACAGGCTGGGGCAGAGTGGCTGCAAAGCTGCCCCAGGAAAAGGCCCTGGGGGTGCTGGTGACAGCAGCTGAGCATAAGCCAGCAGTGCCCAGGTGGCCAAGAAGGCCAATGGCATCCTGGCCTGTGCCAGCAATGCTGTGGCAGCAGGAGCAGGGCAGGGATTGTTCCCCTGTACTCAGTGCTGGTGGGGCCACACCTCAAGTCCAGTTCTGGGCCCCTCACTCCAAGAAAGACATGAAAGTGCTGGAGCACGTCCAGAGAAGGGCAATGGGGAAGGGTCTGGAGCACAAGTCCTCTGAGGAGTGGCTGAGGTTGGAAAAAAGGAGACTTAGGGTAGATCTTATAGCTCTCTAGAACTGCCTGAAAGGGGGTTGCAGGAAGGCAGGGTTTGGCCTCTTCACCCAAGCTAACAAGTGACAGGACAAAAGGAAATGGCCTCAAGGGTACTAATGGAGGTTTTGTTTGGATATTAGGAAAATTTTCTTCACAGAAAGAGTGCCCAAGCATTGAAACAGGCTGCCCAGGGAAGTGGTGGAGTTACCAACTCTGGAGGGATTTAGAAGGTGTGTAAATGTGGAACCTGGGGACAAGTTTAATTGTGAACTTGACAGTGGACTTTAATGGTTGGACTTTTTGCTCTTAGAAGTCTTTTCCAAACCAGACGTTTCTGTGATTCCATGTTGTTTCTATGTTGTTGCTCTACCAGAAGGAAAGGCTTAAGAGACAACACTGTGAACAGTGGATAGCCTGAATGCTAAATGGATTTAGCCTTCATAAGGGACACTGAATCCCTCCTACTAATCTGACAACTAATCTTACTGTGATCTTCATGGGCAGTCAGGACGCTAGCTTCTGCTTTTGGTAGATACTGTATACTCCCTTTTGCTCAATACCCAGAAATATGTTTCTGGGTATTGAGCTGAAAATAATACCTATCTTTCCACCACAACTCCCTTTCTATTACCTGCACAAGATCTGCACTAATTTTAACCAAATTCCTTCCAGTCTTGTCCATAGTGAGATCATGAACATACACCTTTTGGACTGCAAGCTGAAACTGCTTCTTGTGTCTCTGCACAAGAACCGCAACTGACAGATTTACTCTCTGAATGGACATAGACATATGGAACATATAATACAGTGTCATTAAATTCCTGGGTTTAAATTGTACTTTATGAACTTGTGTAATAGTTGTATAGGTATCAGAAAAATAAAATATTCTTACCAAGATGCAGAATATGAGGATGCAAATTTTTTGATCTGTTGGTCCAGTGTGTGATACTGGAAAAATCTTCACACTTCATCATGTTTCTGTCCTCCTGTCCTCAAAAACTGTCTTTGTATTCTTTTGGATGGTATCGTTGTATCTCAATAGACACTGAATTTGGCAGTAAGCAACTTGCACAATATAGATCTTACTGTTCCCCCTACAGCTTGCCAAAAATAAATGATAAAACATGCTACAGTTACTTGAAATAACTTCTAATTTGTGATACATCTACTTAATCATGGTCAGTTAAAAATGCATTCATCTAAAATCTTAAATTCTGTATAAAGGATGACTAAGTTCAGAAATATACTCTTGACTTTTCTTAAGAGTGATGTAAAGTAAGAGTGCACTTTTATCATATATATTGTAATTAGATTCTTGGGAAATACGGTCCAAATACTGAAGTACAATAGGGTTTCTGTGATTCACAAAGATTATGAAAATATATTAGTCATCATGACAGTGACAGTTACTTAGTGCTTAAAAGCACCAATATACAGCAAATATAAGGCCTGAAACAAGATGTGGTGATCAGAAAAAATGCTGGGACAGCTCACAGAATGGGAGAAGTGAAATGGGCAGATTCAGGGTCTGCAGGAAGGACAAGCTGGTAAGGTGAGGGGGGACATAATCTTTTATGTGAGAGAGTGCATGGGTCTTTGCTCTGGGCTGGCTCTCTGCCTCAGGATGGGTGATGGGGCGCCTGGGTCCTGGTGGGTAAGGATTACAAGGCAAATCCTAATGTAAGGAGAGGTGTTTATGAAGGGTTAGGAAAGTTGACTCTGATAAGGGATATGGGGAAAAAAACAAAGCTTTCTAGAGGTTCCTTGTTGGGAAAAAGAGAAGGGAAAATGTAGGCTCATTGCTGAATGGTCAGGGATCTAGAAGTAAAGGACATGGTAAAGGCCAAGTAGTCAATACCCTCTTCACCTCAGTCTTAAGAGATAAAGCTATTCCAGTTCACTAAGACCTGTGGTGGTTTGACCAGGAAGAAGTGGGAATTCTGGGAAGCTGTGGTCAAACCAATGAAGGTTTTGAGTTTGAGACTGGCACCTGGTGTAGCCAGTGGGGTTTGGACACACCTCCGAGAATACACAGGGGTTAAAAAGCAGAGCTTCGGCCCTGGGAAGCTCTCTTGGGACGTCGCGGCGAAGAGGTCAGATCTCTTCCCCCGTCCAGTCGCTGCTGCTGGGCGGGGGAGGGGCAGCCATGCGGTAGGCCCGGGGCCTGGACAGAGATGGGGGTGAGAAGGCCCTCAAGGATGGAAGGGTGGAGGAGCCCCAAGAGACATCGGGCAGCCATTCCCCCCCCCAGGAGGGAGAGAGAGGGAGAGTCGGCGAGACGGAATGTGATAGCAGCCGGCCCAGGAGGAGAAAGGGGGGAGAAGGGTGCAGCCCGGCCGGCCGCAGCAGCAGCACGTGTGGGAGTATCATCGTTCTGAGATAGACAGAGACTGAAAGTTTTAACCCCTTTCTTTCATGATTGGGGCCTTGCAAAAATGCTAATCCTCCTCGAAGCTGAATGAGAAGGGAGATAAGAGATGAGATGAGATAAGATGAGACAAGGACCTGGCCCGAAGAACGTGGAGATGATTGAATGGGGAGAGATGATTTGGAGTGGCCTTTTGGCTGGACTTTTCTTGTGGCCATGGACTCAATTGTTCCTGTGACACAGAGACTGCATTTAGGGGGAGGCAGTGCCTCAGAACCAGGAGGGTTCATCGTGAGGACCCCCGGCCCCAGGGGGTTGGAAAAATATGGGGGGGACAGATGTCCCAAAGCAGAGACTGTGCCTTTTTGGAGTGAGACAAGGCATCCTTGAAAGACAACCCTAAAAGCAGCTCTGGTCCATGCGTCAGTGGTGAGAGCACTGGGCATGGAAGGAAGATGTCACAAGCGGCAAAAGGACTTTTTTTTCCGGGCGGTGCCGAAGTGACAGGGAAGCACACGAGGTTTCAGTGTGTTTCCAGGGGAAGCCTATGGAACAAGAAGGACTCCTTTCCTCTTCATGAACTGAAGTTTGAGTATACTAAAGTGTGGTGCCAGGCTGGGCAGTTGGGTGTTTTGGGAGAATGTATCGGATTGGGAAAGTCAGGTAGTGGGGAGGAGGAAAGTGGTTTTTGTAAGGTTTTCAATTTTTTTTCTTTTCCTTATGGTCTTTCCCTATTTTCCTGTAGTTTAGGTAATAAAGTGTTCTTTATGTTTAAGCTAAAGCCTGTTTTGCTTATTCCTGGTCACATCTCACAGCAGACACCAGGGTGAGGGCATTTTCATGGGGGGCACTGGCTCTGTGCCAGGCTCAAACCATGACAAGACCACAGAGAAAGACTGGGGCAAGGAATACTTATCCTTGGTGGAGGAAGAGCAGGTGAGAGAACATTTAAATGTCATTAATATGACTTGATATTCATGCATTCACAGGACCTGACAGGTTGTGCACAAGTGATAAGGGAATTGGCCCTTGTCTTTGTAAGGCCACTCTTGAGTATCTTTGAAAGGTCACTGCAAATGGGAGAAGACTGGAAAACAGCAAGAGCACAAAGGGGATTAATAAAACTACAGATTTATCATCTTCACTTCAATCCCAGGCTCAAAGGGTTATGGTAGATTGCACAAATACCACCTAGTGTGGAGTGGTCACTACTGATATGCTACAGGAACTGACACTGAGTCCACTATTGTTTAACAATTGCATTAAGGGCCTAGAAGTGGTGGGACAAGAGTGCAACCTTAGAAAATTTGCAGATGATACAACACTGAGATGAGTGCTGCTATGCAGATATATCTGGGCAGGCTGGAGAAATGGGTCAACAGAAACATCAGGGAAAATGCCAAGTCTTGCACTTGGAGGAAAATAACCCTCTAGGTCACCACAGACTGAGGACCGATGAGCTGGAAAGAAGCTTTGACCAAAAAACATCTGGAGGACCTGGAGGATGAGCAGACCATGAGGCAGCATAATGCATTTACAGCAGAGGCCAACAGCCTCCTTGTCTGCATCAGGAAGAGTGTTGCCAGCAGCCAGGGAGATTTCATCTTTCTCTGCTCAGTCCTGATGAGTACTGGAGTACTGATGAGTACACCTGAAGTACTGTGCACAGTCCTGAGTTCTCCAGCACAAGTGAGACATGAACATATTGGAGTGAGTCCAGCAAAGGGTCACAACGATAAAGAGATTGAAGCATCTCTCACTGAAGGAAAGGCTGAGAGTGCTGTGTGTGGAGAAATCTCAGGGAGATCTTATCACTGTATGTAAATAATCAGATAAGCAGAGTAAAGACAGAACCGGGGTCCTCTCAGCTGTCCCCAGTGACAGAAGAAACAACAAAAATCAAAGTACTTAAAATTCCTTTCAAAAATAAGAGGAAAGTGTTTTTTTTTACGGTCGGGTGACTGATTGAAGGCTGAATGAGTGTGACTGTGAACAGGCTGCTCAGAGAAGTTGTGAAGTCTCCATCCCTAGAGATAGTCAAACTTAGTTGGATACACAGCCCTAAGCAACGTGCTGTGGCTGATTTGTTCTGGGCAGGGGTGGGATTCCAGAGGTGCCAACTAGCTTTGATGCTTCTACAGTTCTGGAGCTAGAACCTCATTTAGACCCAATGGTAGCATAGCACAGTAATAGGAACAAAGACTGGACACACTGTGCTAATGTCAATATTTTCTCAACAAGAAAGAACAGGATCTGAATTTGTATTTAGAAAGCACAAGGGCACATGGAGTAGATGTGTAGTCTTTGATTCTATATATCACATGCTTTAAGAAAACAAGACAGCACCTCAGAAAATAAAAAAAAAAAAGAGGGTTTTGCCTTAAGAGGGATGAAACCCAAAATTAGTTTCTGCCCCTGTCTTCTAATGGCAGTCTGTGTCCCTTTTTTTGACCATTCACCTTGTGCCTTGAGTCTTGGCCTTTGCCATTCCTAGTTGCTGTGGCAGAGCACATGATATCCTGGGCTCCCTTGTGTTGACTTACCTGCTGTGCTGCCATACCATGCTCCTGACTGGCAATCCTGTGACCCAGCAGCCTGGAGAGGAAGCTCTGCAGTCACAGGATGTCCCTGCTTACCCTGGCCCTCAGTTACCCATCAGATGGTATGGTCCTGCACAGCCCAGGGTGGCTTGCTCAGGAAACTGATGTGATGCTCTTAGTAAGGAAGGATTTCACGCCCACGTTCTTCAAAAAACTAGAGCTTGTTTCACCCCTTCAGTTAGGAGCCAAGGCTATGGAGCAGGCTTGCTGGTTGCACCTGCCCTGATTATCAAACTCTCACAAATAGTACTTCTGCTCTTCCCGCCTCCTGCTGCTTTAAACAAGCACGAGGCAGCCCAAGTCCCCCATCAGCCTCCTGGGGAAGGTCTTTTGGGCACTTGCAGCCCACGCTGCTTGACCACCATTGCTGTGACAGACCTGAATAAAATGCCTCCATTTCAAGCCCTACAGCCACCAGTCGGGCGCACAGACTGCCTTGTTCTGCTGTAACATCAGCTTCCAGGAGAAGTATCACAGACTCTGAAATGAGCAGGAGAACCCCACAGAGCTGCAGTCAAGTAATGGGACTCTACCTATGTGTAATGGCACATACATTTTTTGAGTCTTTCTACCTTATTTTAATTTTAGATGCTACTAAAAAGAAAATAATTAGAGCCCAAAATAGCAACGAATTTTAAGCTTTAGTATGTAACAGATTTTGAATTTGACAGATTTGATTGTACAGATTAGGAAAGACATTAAAATATACAGAATAGGCTTGAATAAATGTTTTCTCCAGGCTCACTGCAATGGGTAAAAAACTCTAGTGGAAAACTGTACATATTTATACCAAAAGAAGGCTATAATGCCCTTGACTGTACGCCACAACTCCCACTGCATTTTCATAACATTGTATGTGTTTGGTTCGCTGACTCAACATACAAAGCTTTATATCACAAACAAGGGCAGTTATTTACAGGTGCCAAGCCTACTAGAAGACCCTAGATTGATCTACTCTAGCCCAGTCAGTGAGGAAGTATCCCCATTTGACTTCAGCAAAGGAGCCAAATCTATGTAAATAAGTGGATGATTTGGTTTATAATTGTATGCCGAATTTAAATTAAGATCTTCTAGGCATATGTTCTTCCAGGTGGATATTTGTATTAGAGAAGGTCTCTACTACTCT